ATCCGTGCCAACATGGCCACTGCATACCTCGTTCAGTGAAGCTCAGCTAATGAAATTCACCCTTTTTGTATTCAGAACAATTTAATGCTTGCTGACATGCAATACAAAAAAAAACAATTCACATTCGGTACAAACTCTGCGTCAACCTGGATGCCGGGTTGGGTGGCGGTCATCCTTGTCAGCATGGCCACTGTATACCACGTTTACTGAGGCCAATCTAGTGAAGTTCACTCTTTTTTCTATTCAGAACAGTTTAATGCTTGCTGACATGCAATAAAACAAAATTATCGGTTAACACGTGCCTTCCATTTTCGTCAAGCCGTCGTCAAGTACATTTTCGATGGATTTGGCTGACCGTAGGACCTACTTGCTGGACAGTGTCATTACCAGCGTTTTACGTTGATACAAATAAAGGTCGATCTGAATATAATCAGGAGCCCTTGTGGATCCGGACCACATGCCGTTGCATGGAACTGTCAACTCGATACGAAACGTAAAATTAATTTTTATTTTATTCACACTTGAGGTGGATAGCCGATACAACGTCAACGTTATATCCCTAATACAAAAGACATAAGCCTGCTATTTGCGACATCGCCTGTGTTCGGTAGCAGCTGGTATTATTCTAATCCATGTTTTGCAAACGGCAGTTGACAAGGAGGTGTTTGATGGTTCTTTTAAAATCACCGTGGTAAAGACCGTTAGGCGGGATGGCAAAATCCGATCATTTGTAATATGAAGAGCGCATTAGTCCGTGGGGATGGTAATTGCATCTCCGCCACAAACCATCATGTTTAATCGGGTTGCCATCTCCTAGAAATAGGACGACGCAGTTCAAGTACTGCCACAATGCCTGAATACTGAATCTTCCTAGATCAGCCTTACGTGTTAGCAAAAGTTTCTCTAGTGCGAAAAAGAGGGACAATAAGACTTATTGTGTACGGAATGTAACGTTGCAGCCTGACGTAGCAGATACCACAGGCGCCACCAAGGATCGAACAGATGCTGAGATTTATACTTGGGAAACTGTTCCGTCATTTTCCCTTATATATAGGATGAGAAACGACGAGATGCCAGTTTGAACCGATAAATACTGTGAGGCGCGTACAAAACCAACCTCCGATGATGCAA